CGCCAGGCCCCGGTGAGCGTGCCCAGACTCCTCACTCTGCCGGCCCCGCCTCTGCGCCTCGCTCTGCCGGCCCCGCCTCTGCGCCTCGCTCTGCCGGTCCCGCCTCTGCGCCTCGCTCTGCCGGCCTTGCCTCTGCGCCTCGCCCTGCCGGCCCTGCCTCTGCGCATCACCTTGACTGCGCCCTTCAAGCTCCGGGAGACCTTTCCTGAACCCGTTTACCACCCAGAGGTTCCTCCCGTGAATTTCCCCAAGTATTTTTTTGGGGGGGGCACTAGGTACTCTGCGGGGGCCTTGGAGGCGACACTGACATGGACCGCACCTGAGTCTGCTCCGCCCTCGTCTCTGCCTGAGCCTGCTCCGCCCTGGCCGCCATCACGTCTTGCTCCGCCCTGGCCGCCTTCAGGTCCTGCTCCGCCCTGGCCGCCTTCACGTCCTGCTCCGCCCTGGCCGCCTTCACGTGCTGCTCCGCCCTGGCCGCCTTCACGTCCTGCTCCGCCCTGGCCGCCATCACGTCCTGCTCCGCCTTGGTCACCCACGCTCCACGGCCCAGGCCCGCCTTGCCTGTGTCCTGGTCCCGTTCCCCTGCACGGGCCTGGCCCTCCGTCCCTCCCCCGGGATCGCCTTCACTCTGCCCCCCGCCTGGATTGTTCTAGGAGCATCTGGAAGCCGCTCCTTAGAGGGGGGGTTATGTGACGATCAGCAGCCGTGGTGCCCTCGAGAGCCACTAGAGGGCACTCTCTCTCCATGTTGTTTCCCCTTGGACTCTTTGTGTTTCATTATGTTCAGCTGTGTTTCATTATTGGTTATTGAGTTCCTTATTTAAGCCTGAGTTTTCCCTGTGTCCCTTGTGAAGTCTTGTTACCCTGTAAGCGTGCAATTCCGAGCGTTACTCCCTGTTCTGTGTCTCCGTGTTTCCCTGGGCTCTTGACCCTTGCCTGTTTCCTGGACTGTTCACGAACCTGTGCTGCCTGCCTCGACCATTGCCTGTTTTGACCACGAGTTTCTGGATTGCCCCTTTGTTTTAGTGTTTTCCTGTGTTCATGTCTGCTTGTTTTAATAAAGTGCTGCACATGGATCCGACCGTCTCTGTCCGTACGTTACAATATGTAACATTTATTTATTTGATTTGTCTAAAAGTTCAATAATCTATTCCATTTAAAAAAAAAAAGATTTATTGCATTTGTTTACAATGTTAACTTCTATGGGGAAGTTGATTCCACCATTTGAGTGTGATGATAGTGAAATAACAGGAGTTGCAGCAGTGAATATACTAGAGCAGAATCGCACTTATTTATGGCTATACCTGAATAGCTGCCCTGTTGCCCTGGTGAAATAATTTCTGGTGGCGGATGTTGTGCAACTGTAAACCTTGATTGTGGTTATATGCAGGCTGAAAACGTCACATTGCTGTCTAGTTTTCGACTTCCTGACTCAAATGGCTTTCAGTTTGCTCTATATTTACTTGCTGAATGTGGACATTCAGAAAGTTCTCTAGTGATTTGTGAGTGCTCTTTGAACCATCAAGAGGAGGATGTTGAAACGAGGGCACAGTTGCTCTTATAAAGCACATTTTTTACACAACACATCTTCAGTCTCTGAAAGCTATATGTCAGTCTTCGAGCGTGAGTACAACATTCTATTTTGTGGCTTGTCGTGTTTAATTAACTCTTTTTGACATTAAGCACTTCCCCTGCTTTTTTCTCATTCATACACATTCATACACATCACTCCTTTGCTGCATGTATTTACATACTCCAATATGCATAATAGGCCTTTAACAAAGACTCCATCAATAGATATTTATATCATCTCCCCAATATACACATTTAACATAATCATTAATATCAAACCGATTGTGATGTGCCTTGATTCAAGTTTGAATATGCACACATATAATAGAAATTTGAGAGATGCAGTGAAGTGCAACAATGTCAGTTTTCAGAAATTTGAGGTGAACCCTACCAAAAATGCTATGCTGATGCAGCATTTTAAAGATTTTAAATCTAGCTTTTAAATAGTAGCTGCTTTTCCACCGCCAGACCTAACCGTTCTCGTTCCTTAACTGTCCCATTCCATGCCGATACGGAACAGCCAGTACTGATATTGTTCGACTTTCGACTGTGGTGCTAAAAACAGATCTTTGGAATCTAATACAAATGCATCAGTCGTTACCTTGTTAACGCAAGAGTTTAAAGAGAGTATGAGATGTAAATAGCAACTACGTTATGGTTATTTAAGTTTAATTATTACTGTAACTTGTGTTTACTCCGTTCGAATAGAGAAACTGGTAGTCAGGCAACAGACAGTTGGCCAATCCTGAGAGCGACGTCACTACAAGCGTTCTACCAGCTCGATTCAGCACAGTTATCGGCCTGAGGATTCCAGCCTTTTAATGCTTTGTTTCCGGTGTTCTGTCGATTTTTGCTGCCTTGTCGAAAAATGCTACCGTAGCGCGAATTGATCACAGAATGCCGATTAAAGTCGTATGAAATACAATTATAATACAATTCTAAGTTATGAGTAGCTAGTGTATACTGTAGACGACTATTTTTACTTTTAAAACGGTGTGAAAAGTAAAAATTATAATAAAATAGGCCTATTAAGTACACCTTTCTTCATAGTAACTGAAATTTCAGTTATTCTTTTTCAGTTGGCTGGCCGTACAAATATTCATATGGTAGTAAGCATTTTTTAAAGGGAAATTATATATTATAACAGGAAAATGTACCTTTTGTAAAAAAAAAAAAAAAAAAATCTGTGAGTCTGCACATGCGCATAACCGGTAAGTAGCAAATCTCGATGGGTAGCATGAATTGTCAGAACACCGGCCCGACGATGGAAAATCAGCTAATGTTTTATTTTTGTCTGTTTTGTGTACTGTATTGGGTTCAAATTCTGTTGCATTTAAGTATATTATTTGTTTACAATGTACAACACCCTATACATTAGTACAGTACAACAGAAGCACTCAGAGAACATGTTGAACTATATTGTGTATTTCATCTACCTAAGAGGAGAACAGTCAATGCTGTTTCTTACCGCGGTTGTGTATGTCTTCAACGGATGTTTTGATTTTGTTACTCCAATGTTAAGAAAACGCTTGCTTCACACTCTGATGTGAATGTCTGCATGCTAACTTTTAATGATTGTTCCCATAGAAAGCTCTGTAAAGTAGGCTGACATGAGCACACATTCTTCAATAGTAATGCTGCTTGCGCTATAAATAGAGTATCTGTCTGTTGGAGAGCTAGTGTGTGTGGGTGGATTGACAGTATATTTGGGGCTGCTCAAATCTGAAGAATAAAGATTTTTATAGAGACTAAATTACTATCAGTTCAGCTATTATTGACCAGCCCTATTGTTTCATGTTGGCATATGGAGTGTTATGGATTGCCTCGCAATTATAATTTCAGTCCTTTCTAATGTGAGAAACAGTTTGACAGTCAGGCAGAGCAATTATTTCTGGCAGAGTGAAGACTTGCAGATAAGTTTGGAATGTGTGTGTGTGAGCTTGTTTCTGTTGGTTCGTACTTGTGCGCACATATATACGTGGGTGCCAATAACAAATACACACATTCATATAAAATCTGGAAGTGAAAATCAGCCTGGGACTATTTCGAGAAGCTGGTATGTTTTTTTTTTTTTTGTTGATATGTCACAATGGTCAAGATTTTATATAAACTAATACATTTTACACTAATAATATATATGTGCTGCCTGACACAAAACAGCCCTCAGCTTTGTAAATATATACTGTATATGTGTCACCACAGCCTGTTTTTTAAAGCATCACCATGGAGACAGAGCTGGGGAAGCTGGAAACAATGGCTTTTCTCTAGGATCTCTCTCTCTCTCCGCTGAATATTTTGCTCATAATTACTGCCTACAATATACATAATGTCATGCCCTCGACAGATGTAAAGGCCTTTGGGAAGCTCTAACCTACCATTAGTATGATGCCTATGACATCACAAATATCAAACATACTCTGAACAATGATTTCCAAAGTGAACGCATAGTGATTTTAGTTTGTAGGGCCAAATGCAATTATTACTGTGAAAATGATGTATTATTCAAGTTTTATGATATGATATGTCTTTTCCCCCGTAAATGTGGGTGTAATTATAAAAAATGTATTGAGAAACATTGAGTATTTCAGACCATGCATAAAATGTCTATACTTGACAGATATCACTGAATTAAAGATTAGTGTCCTGGAGAATTGTATGTCGTGACAGTCATGAGCACTGTACACCAGCTAGGGGAATCATATGTCTGCTATGTCCAGGGGAATTGTCTACTGTGAATCATTAACTGTGTCTTAGATAACATAATGTCATACTGTTTATAATGAATTGAGTGGGAGTTCTTTACCTGGTGTTTTAGGATAATGGCTATTCAGACATGCAGAACTACATTTTTGATTGACTGTAGCGCTTTTTGCATTCTATATAAGGGAAGTTTGCATAAGATGCTGTGAATTTGTGTTTCATCAGGCTAGATTCAGAGATGCTGGATTTTGGATCATGATGGATTTTGCTGCAATATGATGATAATATATAGAAATTCAAGCATATAGACACGTTTATTGATTTGCTTAGTAAAACATTCATGGATGGGAGAGTCTGACATCTACTGAGAGTTCATCTGAAACACCACCATTGCTAATGTTTCCTGTCAGATGTCATGATAGATTTGTAACACTTGCATACATCTCAGAGATGGATCTGGAGAATAAAAGAAGTTATTTACCTGGTAGTTTTAGCTTCTTGAAATTTTTAACAGTGCATTTTGGGATTGCTTTACATAATAAATAACATTAATTACAATTATTTTGAATTTTAATCTTAAAACACTTAACAATGTGTGAATGTCATTACTTTAGATAAAGTGTGATTAAGTATGCATGTATTTTTGTAAATTCACCTTACATTTACTACTGTATGCAAACAGTGAATTTAAAGAATTTTATTAAACATCATTTTATTCCCTTTCCACAGGGTGCAGGTGGAATTTTATGTAAATGAAAACACATTCAAGGAGAGGTTGAAGCTCTTTTTCATCAAAAACCAAAGGTCAAGTAAGTAAAATCTTGAGACATTTACAACCACTGAGAAACCAACAAAGCAAAATCCATTATTGCAAGCATAAACAACTTATATGGATTTCAATATCACTAACAGAGAAGGTGACTGTTTTAACTTTTTGTTTGGATTTATGAAGGCACTGCTGAATTAATAATACATTTTACAGATGAGTTTTATATGGTATGAATCTCCATTGTACAATTTACTTACAGGTCTCAGAATACGCCTCTTCAACCTCTCCTTGAAGTTGTTAACATGTCTGCTCTATATAATCAGAGTCTCACTAGATGATCCAACTAACCAGGTCACATGTGCACGGTGAGTAAACATTAACTACTTAAAAGGATAATTCACTCAAATATGAAAATTCTGCCATCTTTTACTCACATGCACACTACCATTCAAATATTTTATTTTTTAAAATGTTTTTAAAAGAAGTCTTTTATGCACATCAAGGCTACATTTGTTTAATCAAAAATGCAGTACAAATTATTTTTAATTATTTTGGAATATTTTTGTAAAAATTAAGAATTTATTTGAAATAGATTTTTGGTCACGCTTTAAATAAGGTGTTGTTAACTTTGTACTTGCACCAGAAAATAAGTACAATGTACTTATTGTATTCACATTGTACTGCAAAACACTTTTGCTGCTTTTGAAGTGGGATACGGGTAAGGTTAGGGACAGGTTTGGTGTATGGTATGGGTAGGTTTAAGGGTGGGTTAAGATGTAAGGGAAAGCATAGCAGTGTAAGTACATGCAGGGGTTTTGTTTTACAATATAAGTACAATGTAAAAACATTTATGTACACAATAAGTGCACTGTATCATATGATCGATTTAAATGCTAGTGCATAGTAGTTAAAGACACCTAATATAAAGTGGGACCTTTCTTTTTTTTACGACTGCACTCTTGTTTGTGTATAAATTGCTTTTGTTCAGCTTGGTCCAGCTCCACGTCATCCTCACTGGTGAGGGAAATCATTAGGTTACTTGCATAACCCAGGTTCTCAGAGAACAGAGCTTGGTATCTCACTATGGGAAATAAATACATCAGGCGTGCACCACATCTTTGTACCACGTTACACTATGTCTGTCTAAAAGGCAGACAAATCACAGCGCATGACAAGGAGCTTACCCCCTCCCTATATATACCGCTGTGATCCCCAAAACGGCTGCTCTTCCCCAGTATTATGCAAGGATTGATGATTGGTGAGATACCTGACGAATAACCTAACATTTTCTTTCAAACAATCTCTCGGTATCTCACTATGGAAATGATATGGCCAATGCACAGGCTTTCCAAAGCCGCTGAACACACCCAGCAAAAATGAAAGATAACCTCTCATATCTCCAAAGAGCCAACTTCAACAACTGCATGAGCCATTTCAGGCATAGTGACATCCAGACAGTAAAATATGATAAATGAGTAAGGAAGCCCAGCTTAGTTGCTCAAATGTCTCCTATCAAACCCCCTTAAACAATGCCCATGAGCTATCCATTCCTCTCATAGAATGGGCCCTTAAGCCCATTGGAGAATAAAGACCCAAAGATGTATTGGTGAATTCAATCGTTTCCACCATCCAATGGGAAAGGTGCTGCGAGGAGAATGGCTTACCCGTACGTTGAGTTTCCCACGAAACGAATAACTGATCATTCTTCCTAACTGCCATGTCATAGTTTCATAATACCGTAATGCTCATACAGGACACAAAGTAAGCAATTTCCACTTCTCCTCCTCTCTTGACAAGATCAGCTGCTTTGTTTCACTCCCTTCATAAAACGCCATATAAGAGGATGTCGTTCCACCGAAGCTCCTTCGAAACCTACGTGGCAAGCCGAAATAGCAGCCAGATAAAGTTTAATAGTAGAAAATGCACTCTGAAAATTAATATTTAATTTGAAGGGGCTATAGCACTCTGGATAGTGTTTATAGCTCCCTGGGGAAGCCCAAGCAGATTCAAATTTAACTCCTCACTGGTCAAACCAGTGAAAGATTGACCCATTCCGAGTGAGGGTGAAATATATGCCCACTCGCTTATGACAGCAGGTCCCGGCACAATTGGAGTGGCTCTCCCTGAAGGAGCAGAACAATCTCTGCCAACCACAGCCTTCCCAGGCCAACAAGGGCCATCAGAAATGGAGCGAATCCGTTTTCTCTTACTCCACTGTTCAGGGTGATTGATATTTGACTCAGCGGTGGGGATGCATATACAGTAGCGACACGTTTGGCCACATTTTTGCCACATCCACCCTCAGAATGTGCATTTTTGCCTTGAGAGAGAAATACAGTGGGACTTTGTGTTTGCCTATGAGGTGAACAGATCTACAGCAGCCTTGCAATACCTCTTGCAAATCTGATCTACCACTTGTGGGTTGAAGTGCCCATCTCTGTATACACTGGCGTTGGAACCGGGGGGGACGTGTCCCCCTCAATATTGAAAAATGCGGCATGTGTCCCACCCAAAAAATTCCATACCTAACCTACCGCAGGAACAAAAACTGTACATTTGGAACTTTTTTATTTTTAAAGCGCGACTAAGAAGATATCCAGTTTTGCCAGCAAGTCAAACCCAGAGTGACAGTTAGGTTAAACCATTAAACCCGGTTAAACCTTCCCATTTCATGTTTGAATAATCACCATTCGCTTCATATATTTCACTCACCGGAGCATCTGATTGGTAGAGAGAAGTTAACGTGAAATTTCACTATTTCACTGAAACGCACCAGCTTTGAACTGGAACCTACATGATTTATCTAATCTGACTATGATATTTTTGTTATTAGCTCCATTTTACTTATAATATCACATACCTTTGTTTGCAGTTTGAATAAATAATAAACACAGCAGTTTGAACTCTTCTCCACTTTATTATTATACCACACATCAGATCTCCAAAATCCCGCGACCGTACCAACAAGTGCGCACGACCCATCTACGGCAAGCCCCGAGGGGAAAAATACATTGCATACACACATACAACGAGCGCTACTACATCATTACCGGTGTTAACAGAGTTTGTTGGATTATGTCATTTACAATCCAAAAAGGTCTGTTACAATAATAATAATAAAAAAGATTTTGAGGACAGTTACACTGTATTGAGAAAGTTGAGAAATAATAATATTTTTAAAGTTTTCAACAATAATTGTCATTATTGAACCCTTGCTCTTATTTTGTTTCTGATTTCTCAGCTTTGTCATTATTTTAACACATCATTTATTTTTATATATTTTGACACGGTTTGTTTAAAGAAGTTTCAAAGAGTTAGCAAAAGAGTAAAGTAAAAGTTAAAACTTTTTTATTAAAAGTAGGCATCTATTTTTTTTTATTAAGTATTTATTTTGTATTAACAATGTATTCATTTATAATGTATCATTATTGCGTGACATTTGTGTCAATAATCGTCAAGCACATGTGACTTCACGTAGTGGGAGGGGGGCCCCAAAAACAGACCGCCACTGCATGTACTGCATCACCAAACTGTATGTTACTATTATGGTGGTGGGATAGACGTTGATTCATAGTGGCCAGTATGTCCCCCACAATGTCAAAGACGTTCCTACGCCCTTGAACGTATGGCCCTTTGAAAGGAGATCTGCTCCTACATTCAGGACTCCTGGGACATGTGTCGTACTAAGCGAGCTGAAGTGAACACTGAACAGTGCTTCAGACAATCAGCTTGTGGGCTACATTATCAGGTGTCAACAAACATGTTTATTCATATATGCCACCAATATCATGTTGTCTGTCCTGACCAAATCCCTTTAAAAACAGCAGATATTGTTTCAGGCTCACTGCATATTTATATAAAGTTTATGAAGCAGCGATCATTTATCTGCCATTCACGTGTTCTGATATCAACCCAAGAGCTAGCTTTTGTGTGTGAATGAAAAAACATAGTTACGGTAGGCTACACATTAAAAAAAATAAAATTTCAAGCTCTCTGAATGATTAATTAGCCGTTTAAACCACCACATGTGAGTGTTTGCAATTAATTTTACTGCGAGAAAGCTATAGGCTATGTGCACAACCGTAGTTTCCAACTTCTGCTTTTGTCAGAAGTCGGCGTATCAGTTTCCGGTCTACGACTGGTCATCCGCATCCACTAATAAACAAAGAAGATGAGTGCTGCTGTTGTACGAAAAAAAGAGTTCTTAAACACATCAAAGTTTCTAAGAACTGTAGTGGATCTAACGTCTGTTTCACACCCGTTTGCAGTGTGTGTTGCGGTGCAGGAGCGTGCTGTTAGTGCGTGCACATAGCCTATGATGTGTTTGCACAGTGAATAACTGATCCATGGCTGTACAACAAACACGTACTTAATATTTTTATTTAAAGTCCAGAAGTTATGCTGCAACTTATTTTTAAAAACAAAAAAGTTGTGTCAGCATTGCAATTCTTAGTATGCACGTTTAAACACAATCTAAACAATGTAAGTTATGCATTACAAGTTGCTCAAGCAAGTGGTCAAATATTTCCTACATTAAAATCGCAAATAATTTAAATTAAAACTTGAAATTTACAAAAGCAGCCGACTTGCCTTTTCTTTTGCATTTTCATTTTAAAACAATAGATCTTGCATGTCACAAATAACTTATTTTTCCTTCGCCACGATTGAGACGAGTGTTGTTCATTCTGTCGCCTGCTTGAAGTAAATTGTAATTTTGGGCAACGCTCAAAAAATAATAAAAATATTAAGTATGTGTTTGTTGTACAGCCGCGGATCAGTTATTCACTGTGTAAAACGCATCATAATATGTGAACGCACTAACAGCACGCTCCTGCACCGCAACACACACTGCAAATGGGTATGAAACGGACGTTAGATCCACCAACAGTTCTTAGAAACTTCGATGTGTTTAAGAACTCTTTTTTTCGTACAACAGCAGCACTCATCTTGTTTGTTTATTAGCGGATGTGGATTGACAGTCGTAGACCGGAAACTGATATGCCGACTTCTGACAAAAGCGGAAGTTGGAAACTACGGTTGTGCACATAGCCCATAGCGCAGTGAACGGGGCTTGAGTGAGCTTGAGCGCGTTGTGAGTGAGGGCGCGGGTGCCAGATCCCGTGTTGTCAGATCCACATAATGGAAAGGTGACAGTATCTGGACTTGTTTTTTGGATTAATGTCACAATTTAGGAAGTAATTAAAGTGGTTCGTAATATATTAATCTTATTTACAAAACACAAGCTTTGAACTTATTTCAGATTTTTATGTAATTTCTTTGTTTTTGTTAGTTTTTGCTTGTTTTTCATAGCAATATCTGGCAACATTGTTCTGTCGGCGTTACAGTTTTTTTCAATTGTTTACACTCAATTTTGAAAACCGGGTTCTTTTTTTCAAAATATAATGACAATTATCCAAACACCTCACTAAATTTGCATAATTCCTAGATTGTTTGCAAAATGACACACTTCTGTCAAAACATACACACTTCAGTCAAAAGATATACACATATTTGTGAAAATGCTATTAGTTTTCATTTAACCAACACAATCCTCAATGATCAGACACTATTGCAGCCAGTTTCACACTGCTATGATAAATAAAAAACGCACTTGTTAAAAAGTATTTTTAGGAAATAGCATGTGCTAGATTTTTGGCCAGACATTGTTATGTGGAATAATTGAAAAAAAGATGAAAATAAAAAAAAAGTGACAAACTCACAACATTCTTCATGATTAGTTTGAGATATTGGGAGATTGTACACAAGTAAACTTACCAAGCACTGCACAACACTGATGCTGCAGACTGAAAATTTCAAGTATTTATTTCAGTTCTTACAGTATTTCTTAGCATAATCAGTTACAGTAATTAACCAAAAATGAAATCAATGAAACAAATAATATCTGTAAACAAATTTCAATTACTGCATGAAGTACATACTTGACTCTGAAGAAAAACTAATGTACAAGCAACAAGAAAATTGTAACTATTCAGTTACAGTATCAACCAGAGATTTGGTTGATCTCTTTGTCCAGCTTTCATCAGTGTCAGTCCATGGTTGATAACATGGTAACATGGTCAATAAGTGTTGCACGGATTTCTTGAGTCAAATTTGGCCCTCGTCTTCTTTGTTCAGGTTCTATCAACTCTTCAAGTCCTCTACCTAGGCCTCTTTCTCTATCTCCTTCTTTTCCTCTTCCTCTATACCTCTTTCTCCTGTTCTTCATCCTCTTCCTCTTTCTCCTCCTCCTCTACCTCCTTCATGTCCTCTTTTAGCTCCCCCACTCATTCTCACTCCTCTTCTTCTTCTTCTACATCCTTCTTTTTTTGTTGAAGACTCACATGCTGCCTTTTATAGCACACCTGAGTGCTGCGTTTTCAAATTAGCACATGTGTGCTTCCACACATGGTGGATGTGCATATCCAATTCGTTCATTAGTGTGGTCAATGGCAAACTGGGGCTTTGTAATGACAAGGAAGTAACCTCACAATCCTTATCTGTGTCTAAGGTGTGAAAATGTGTGTAGAGTTTTACAAATCACTGTGTGTAATGTTTGGCAAAAAGGGTGAAGTTGACGACGTGCTTACAATTGTGCAAATCTAGGCTGGTGTTTTGCTCCTTGAGTGTAAGGTTTGCTAATAGTGGGAAAGTTTTAATTTTAATTTTAGTGTGTAAGCAATTGAAAAAAACTGTAATAAAAAAAAAACTTAGGCTGTAGACAAACTGTAATTTCTTTTAGGAAGAAACAAACTTAATGATCAATCGTGACGTGTTAGAATCTGTATAACACTATCAAAAACAATAGCATAGTAACAGATGTTTCAGAATGAAATATGCCAAATACTGGCCAGTAGGAACAAGGCAGATGCTGTTTAGTTAACCTTTCACAAAGTCATCAAAAAACATTAATTGAAGCAGTGTTTCTAGTAGTCCACACCATTTTCGTCTTTCTTCTGTGGATTTCCTCAGGTCCTGACTGGTCAAGTTCAGATAGATCGTCAAATCGGCTCATTCAACCGCACACACCTCACGAATGCGAGCCGACAGCTCTCGAACTTTTTAGACATGCTTAAAAATGATCGGGGGGTCGAGAGGTGCTCGGCTCGGCATAAACGATTTACACGCTATTTCTCCCGAGTGAAAAAAAATCATCAAAAAATCATCTGTGAGCTCGTAAAACAGCAAAAAATCGCACCGTGTACGCCCGCCTTAATTGACTGACAGTATGTTGTGAATATTGTGTTTGATTGAGTTATGTATTGTTGCAATCATGCTGCTCTAAAACTAATTTATTGAACTTGAAGTTGAAGTTGAACTTGAAAATAGGTCCTCCGGGGGAGAATTGGTGTAACGTGACGTGAATTGAGACCTGGTGTAATTGGTTCTTCCATAGTTTATAACACCTGAGGTGTTTCCCATAGTGAGATACCAATCAGTTGTTTGAAAGAACCCACTCTGTGTGATCCTGGAGCGAGAAAAAACAGACCTTCTGACTTTAAAAAAAAAATGACCCTTGCAAAATAATACAATCCTGTTTCCATTCACATACTGTGGAACCTTGTTAACACAGAAGATCATGATACAAACAACTAAATGTCACGCAAAATATCAGCAATCTTTGAAAACTGCATGTCCAATCATCTCAGAGGACCTGAACTAACTGTTGTATAATGATTTTTCTTCAACGCCAGCTCACCGAAACAAAACACATTACAGGACATCTCAAAAGCTTTGTTTAAATTGCTCTCAGGATAAACCCAAGACTACTTTGTCTGAAGCGTCCATTAGAGTCGTCTCAATGCAAGCTCCAGAAAACATTAAGAGACAGTGAGGCACAGTGTGTGTGTTAGTAAGTGAAAGAAAGAGAGAGCCGTGTGAACTTGTGTGCAAGTACAGTGGGAGAGGAGAGGGAGCCCTACTAGCAGCACTCAAATAAGAGAGAGGCAATCTTGCGCTGTTATGTATCCCTCAGCTATTTAACCCTGATGTCTTTCACTTTTATGTTTGTTGTGTACTAACTGCCTGTTATCGTGATTATAGGAAACACTGCACAAACATCACAGATTCCCTTTGCAGCAAAGCCTGTGCAAACTACACAACAAACCTGACCACAGATCCCCCACAAATAAACTGGTGAGTTTAACTCAATATTATGACAGATCACAAATCAAATGACAGTAACTAAATAAAGTATGTTTGTTCTTGAATATTTTCTCTAATTGTCTCAAATCTGTTTGTGTTTCTTTCTTGAAGGGAGTTAATATTTTGGGTGAATAGGAGAGTTCCTGTATGGGCAATACAGGTAGATTGAGATTTTTTTTTTTTTTAATATATATAAACCACACTCTTAAAAATAAAGGTTCCAGTTGGAACCAAAATAATTTTACAGTGTGACTTTAAAGTGAGATGTAATATAAATCTCAGTCCCCAGAGTGTGTATGTAAAGGCTCAGCTCAAAATACCCCACAGATCATTTATTATACCATGTTGAAAATGGCCATTTTTAAATGGAAGGATAGACAATGCTGTTTAAATGTGCTGCTGCTCCCCGTCGTTTTCCAGAAGAGGACGGAGCCTGTACAGCTCGTGCCTCGGATGCTCTGCCATTCTTTTTAACACTAGAAAAAGTCAAATTTACTGTTTTTATATGGCGAAAAAAAAACATATATGTCACTGTATTATACCCCTGTCTTAACAACGTAATGTGTAGAGTCATGAAATGATTATTTTTTAGTCATCAACGATGTTTTTGTCCTATTGTTTTACATTCAAGACTATTTTAAGCAAGCTACACTAATCACTTTTCTTAAAGGTGAATGTTTTCTAAACCAGCCTGCAATGACAATGGGAATTAGAGGGAAATAAATACATATTTGGGTGGTGTAATATTATGATAAAATGTAATTTATCACATATCAAGATAACATGTTATTTAAATTACTAAAATACCCTAAATAGACAATAAAGAGGAATGATAATTCACTACGCTACATGTATGATGCAACAACAAATTCAAGCGCACAGTTCCACCTAATTAATAATTCATTTGTTTAGTTATATCATTTATAATTGAAATAAGAGAACAACACAACTTGGGGTAACTATATAAGTTGTTTTATTCATTACATCATAGATTGGAAATATTTTTTTCAGGAAAACAGATACTCTTGAATAAATAGTAAATTAAATAATTATTCTTTAAACATCTTTATTTGAATGTGTTTTGTGTGACTGATTTCAGTATTCCTACACATTGCTCAAACACAGTTTTTAATCTGGTTTTATCTAAAAGAAAATATCAACAGGGGATTGTAAATAAACAAGTCAGCGACTGGGAGACTTAAATATTTTATCATAAATATGTTACATAAATTTGAATTACAGCTGTGGGTAAATCTAAATTCATAACTCATATATCAGTCCAAACTTCTGATATATGATTTTCTGAGTGCACACACCCGAAGCACCCACAAAGAAAGCTGGGTATCATTCTCGTTCATGCGTTGTAGACCTTAAACTGTCAAGTACACAGTGAATGTAAACAGCAAATAAAGAAATTGCATGTGTATTTTAGATCTGTGTATTAGAATGAAAGCAGCATAATATACAGTACCATTATATGCTGTTAATGTAAAAAAATCACTCACTGGTCTTGATTGAATTAACTTAAATAGCTTTAATAAGAACACATTTCTTACTTGAATGCTGCTGTAAAATGCTCTGGTGAGGAGATAAACATGGCGGACTGTATTCAGTTCACTCAGAGCGGGGTAATAATAATAGGGCAAAGTAAGCCTAAGCATATTTGACGTCACATATGCTAGAATCGGCAAACGGCTAATTATGGGGATTACAAAAAGAGAAGTGGGTGGATTTTTACCATTATAGGGTGGTTGTCTGCACACATTTACATTCAAACACCATATAAAAGTGAATTTTGCATAATAGGCCCCCTTTAAAGAACATTTTTACACTGTAAAACAAACCTTAAAAATATATTCTTAATTCTTGTACTTATAAGTAAATATGAAGAGTTCAGATGCAAAAGCCTCTAAGTGCCATTTGAAATTTTCTTCTAGAATGATCTTTTTATCAAGCTTATATATTCAAGTTCAGTAATTTCACTTAAATGACAATTAATAGGTAATCTTCATTGCAATTTAAGTGAAATTATTAAACTTAACTATACAAGCTTGATAAAAATGATCATTCTAGAAGAAAATTTCAAATGGCACTTAGAGGCTTTTGCATCTGAACTCTTCATATTTACTTATAAGTACAAGAATTAAGAATATATTTTTAAGGTTTGTTTTACAGTGTAAAAATGTTCTTTAAAGGGGGCCTATTATGCAAAATTCACTTTTATATGGTGTTTGAATGTAAATGTGTGCAGACAACCACCCTATAATGGTAAAAATCCACCCACTTCTCTTTTTGTAATCCCCATAATTAGCCGTTTGCCGATTCTAGCATATGTGACGTCAAATATGCTTAGGCTTACTTTGCCCTATTATTATTACCCCGCTCTGAGTGAACTGAATACAGTCCGCCATGTTTATCTCCTCACCAGAGCATTTTACAGCAGCATTCAAGTAAGAAATGTGTTCTTATTAAAGCTATTTAAGTTAATTCAATCAAGACCAGTGAGTGATTTTTTTACATTAACAGCATATAATGGTACTGTATATTATGCTGCTTTCATTCTAATACACAGATCTAAAATACACATGCAATTTCTTTATTTGCTGTTTACATTCACTGTGTACTTGACAGTTTAAGGTCTACAACGCATGAACGAGAATGATACCCAGCTTTCTTTGTGGGTGCTTCGGGTGTGTGCACTCAGAAAATCATATATCAGAAGTTTGGACTGATATATGAGTTATGAATTTAGATTTACCCACAGCTGTAATTCAAATTTATGTAACATATTTATGATAAAATATTTAAGTCTCCCAGTCGCTGACTTGTTTATTTACAATCCCCTGTTGATATTTTCTTTTAGATAAAACCAGATTAAAAACTGTGTTTGAGCAATGTGTAGGAATACTGAAATCAGTCACACAAAACACATTCAAATAAAGATGTTTAAAGAATAATTATTTAATTTACTATTTATTCAAGAGTATCTGTTTCCTGAAAAAAATATTTCCAATCTATGATGTAATGAATAAAACAACTTATATAGTTACCCCAAGTTGTGTTGTTCTCTTATTTCAATTATAAATGATATAACTAAACAAATGAATTATTAATTAGGTGGAACTGTGCGCTTGAATTTGTTGTTGCATCATACATGTAGCGTAGTGAATTATCATTCCTCTTTATTGTCTATTTAGGGTATTTTAGTAATTTAAATAACATGTTATCTTGATATGTGATAAATTACATTTTATCATAATATTACACCACCCAAATATGTATTTATTTCCCTCTAATTCCCATTGTCATTGCAGGCTGGTTTAGAAAACATTCACCTTTAAGAAAAGTGATTAGTGTAGCTTGCTTAAAATAGTCTTGAATGTAAAACAATAGGACAAAAACATCGTTGATGACTAAAAAATAATCATTTCATGACTCTACACATTACGTTGTTAAGACAGGGGTATAATACAGTGACATATATGTTTTTTTTCGCCATATAAAAACAGTAAATTTGACTTTTTCTAGTGTTAAAAAGAATGGCAGAGCATCCGAGGCACGAGCTGTACAGGCTCCGTCCTCTTCTGGAAAACGACGGGGAGCAGCAGCACATTTAAACAGCATTGTCTATCCTTCCATTTAAAAATGGCCATTTTCAACATGGTATAATAAATGATCTGTGGGGTATTTTGAGCTGAGCCTTTACATACACACTCTGGGGACTGAGATTTATATTACATCTCACTTTAAAGTCACACTGTAAAATTATTTTGGTTCCAACTGGAACCTTTATTTTTAAGAGTGTGGTTTATATATATTAAAAAAAAAAAAAATCTCAATCTACCTGTATTGCCCATACAGGAACTCTCCTATTCACCCAAAATATTAACTCCCTTCAAGAAAGAAACACAAACAGATTTGAGACAATTAGAGAAAATATTCAAGAACAAACATACTTTATTTAGTTACTGTCATTTGATTTGTGATCTGTCATAATATTGAGTTAAACTCACCAGTTTATTTGTGGGGGATCTGTGGTCAGGTTTGTTGTGTAGTTTGCACAGGCTTTGCTGCAAAGGGAATCTGTGATGTTTGTGCAGTGTTTCCTATAATCACGATAACAGGCAGTTAGTACACAACAAACATAAAAGTGAAAGACATCAGGGTTAAATAGCTGAGGGATACATAACAGCGCAAGATTGCCTCTCTCTTATTTGAGTGCTGCTAGTAGGGCTCCCTCTCCTCTCCCACTGTACTTGCACACAAGTTCACACGGCTCTCTCTTTCTTTCACTTACTAACACACACACTGTGCCTCACTGTCTCTTAATGTTTTCTGGAGCTTGCATTGAGACGACTCTAATGGACGCTTCAGACAAAGTAGTCTTGGGTTTATCCTGAGAGCAATTTAAACAAAGCTTTTGAGATGTCCTGTAATGTGTTTTGTTTCGGTGAGCTGGCGTTGAAGAAAAATCATTATACAACAGTTAGTTCAGGTCCTCTGAGATGATTGGACATGCAGTTTTCAAAGATTGCTGATATTTTGCGTGACATTTAGTTGTTTGTATCATGATCTTCTGTGTTAACAAGGTTCCACAGTATGTGAATGGAAACAGGATTGTATTATTTTGCAAGGGTCATTTTTTTTTTAAAGTCAGAAGGTCTGTTTTTTCTCGCTCCAGGATCACACAGAGTGGGTTCTTTCAAACAACTGATTGGTATCTCACTATGGGAAACACCTCAGGTGTTATAAACTATGGAAGAACCAATTACACCAGGTCTCAATTCACGTCACGTTACACCAATTCTCCCCCGGAGGACCTATTTTCAAGTTCAACTTCAACTTCAAGTTCAATAAATTAGTTTTAGAGCAGCATGATTGCAACAATACATAACTCAATCAAACACAATATTCACAACATACTGTCAGTCAATTAAGGCGGGCGTACACGGTGCGATTTTTTGCTGTTTTACGAGCTCACAGATGATTTTTTGATGATTTTTTTTCACTCGGGAGAAATAGCGTGTAAATCGTTTATGCCGAGCCGAGCACCTCTCGACCCCCCGATCATTTTTAAGCATGTCTAAAAAGTTCGAGAGCTGTCGGCTCGCATTCGTGAGGTGTGTGCGGTTGAATGAGCCGATTTGACGATCTATCTGA